CGCCACTCCCAAGATGGCGGCCGCGGGCGGCGGGCTGCAGTACCGCTCTCTGCCCACAAGGAGGCAGCACTGCGCCGTCAGCAGCGAATGCCCCAAAGATCCGCGCGGGAAAGAACGGAACAAAAAACCTGCCTCTGACCCGATAGGAACCGAAAGAAAAAACTTTTCCTCTTAAACTGCATTTCAATAGAGTTTATTTTTATATTTTTCATATTTATATTCACAATCGGATTTGTAATGGATACTGATGGAAGATTGTATTTTTATAATTTCTTATATTTATTCCTATTCTATTTTGTTATATTTTATATTTTTATACATATCTTAATAGATTGCTTACATATTTCTATAGTTAGATTTAGATTTCTAAAAGGTTTATATTGCTTAAAATAAAACCCTGCCTCTATCCAAGTAAAAATCTTTTAAAAAAACCTTTATTTAAACTCTGTTTAAATTTATTCCTATTTTTCACATTTATAGTCAAATTTACATTTTAAATGTAGATTGATGTGTGGTGTTATTTATACTCTATCTCTTCCTAATTCTTATTTTTATTTCTATTTTATATTTTTATATATATATGTATACACTGAATTTATATTTCCGTATTTAGAATGATATCAAAATAAAATGTATATTCATACTTTTTCCATTAAAGCCCTCCCTCTAACCAAATAAAAACAATTAAAAAGCCCTTTCTATAAACGATATTGAATATTTATGTATTTTTTCATCATTATAGTCACATTTGCATTTCTACTTTATATTGATGTCTTTATAAATATATATTATATGTAATGATGTAGCAAGATAGATAAATTTTTATTTAAATTCTATTTCGTATATACTGCTAATACTTATATTTACCCACCTTTGAATTTTTATATAGATCTTAACATATTTAGGATATATTTATATACCAAGATTTCTTATTTTATTTTATTTTTATTCATAATTTCTTCAATAAAACCCCTACCTACTACCAAATAGAAAGTAAAATCCCCTTTATTTTAAACTATATTTAAATATTTCTTTATTTCTATTTTTGATTTTTACAAGTACTTATATATTCTATCACAATATTTAGAAGTACTACATTTCAATATATAATATTTATGACATATAATCTGTTAGAATAAGACATATACAGTAAAACATGCATTATGTACTATATTGACTCCTATTATTTTGTAATTTTTATATTTATGTATCCACATGTATTAATTATACATCTCTATATGGATATTTTGTTTATATGTATAATCTATATTTATATGTATTTATAAAAGTGTTGCACTATTACAGGCTATGCAGCAGGGCAGAGCAGCTGTGGCAAATATGTGCAGACACGCGTGACACAGGACAGGACGTGACAAACCAGGGGACGGGACAGGGAGAGAGAGCTTTTGAGGAGAAGAAAGGACTGAGAGACCAAAGAACACAGAGTGTACCAGAGACAAGTGACAGGACACACACCAGCACTGCTCTGCCCTGAGCACCTCAGCACTGAGATCAAAACAGACGCTTTCCCTTTAGGTGGCCTAAGGAGATGCTTCTTGCACATCCCCGTCTCCAAAACTGACACAAAAACCCCTCCTGGGGAGTCCCAACCCAGCACCTCTCTTCCATCCCCTCTGTGGGTTGTAGCCCTCCGCTTATCTGGCACATATCAGGGGATGAAAATCCCCATCGGTGCAGAAGGAAGCCACTGCTCCCATCTCCAGGCCGTGGCCCTGACTTATCTTTTGGGTGACTGGTGATGTGAATCCACATTGGACCTGAAATGAGTCTGGCTCAGAGGAGATAGCCTGTTAGCCTCTTAGTCCGCTAAAATAAAGAACAGGAAAATCAACGGTTGAGTTTAGTGTTATGTGGGCCAAATCTCAGCAAGTCAGCTACTTATCCTCTCCTGAGTGTGCCTGGGTGCTCAAGTCTCCAGCCTCAACCTGAGTCCAAGGTATGGCTGTTATGATGAGTGGCACCGGGGTTAGAGAGGCAAAGCTACGTGGCATTTGTGTGAGTTCGGTGGATGAGCTTGTGTGCTGTATGACACATGGATGCCTCTGCTATGCTCGTGAAAAGCTCTGCAAATAGACACCATTTCTCACCCTACTGCCTGCAAACCCCCACCGGGATAACTCCTAACTCGGTACCCTGCTCGCTCTTCCTCTCCTAGTCACAATCCTCAACTCACCTGAAGCCACCATCTCACACATCATCTTTGACACAGTGTGGATCCCTTTGCATCATGATGAATCTGCTGGGAAAATGTTGTACTTGACACAACCTGGAATTACAGGAAGTTGCACTCCTCCTAAAAAAAAAGAAAAAAATCAGAAATTACAAAAGCACCTTACTCAACCCCAAACTGTGAATTTAAATACTCCCTGTGTTCAATGTTGTTTTTTTCACAGTACCTTCAAAGCCTCTGTTGCATTAGAAGCCCAAAAGCAGCTGCAGTGAACAAGCTGAGATAAGCTGAAAGAGCCTCTTCACCAGAATGGGAGGAGAGCTCTTACCCCAGTGTATTCCAAAAAGGGAGTGAAGCCCCTTGGCAAAGGCTGGGGTTAATATACCCTGATTGGGCCCGCCGCTCATTCCCGTGGCACCCAGGAAAAGGGAGAGGGCAAACCCCACCGAGTAGAAAAGCCCACCTGGTATAAAAGCCCTCAGAGCAGCTGTGGCTATTTGGCTCCTCTGGCTTGAATTCAAGGGGAATAAAGGGCTGGATATAGAAGAAAACTCTTCAGGGAAATGACAGCTCTTTCTTTTTTGCTACAACTATTGGAGCAAAAGGGCAAGAAAACTAGTAAGAAATAAAACTTTGTTTTTAGGCAGCATATCTAGATAAGTTGGGTAATTTGCTGTTAACTTACATAATTATTCCTCAGTGACTACTAAGTAGTACTCAACATGAGACTAAGGGTGGAGAAGAATACTAATTATATGAACAGTCTAAGTTTCCTTGGGGCTACTAATTAGGGCTACCTACATTATAAATAAAAATAAGAAAAATAATAGGCTCCTGGGCAGCATCAAGGTTAAGTATGTGCTAGGCTCACCTTCTCTGAGATACTTAATCCTAGGGCAAAGAAAGAAGTGCCCTGAAAGGTACTTTTAAACCCTTAAAATGCTGAAAAAGGCAGAGCATCCTTCAAGTGAAGCCGTTAAAATGAGGAAATGGGGAAGTTGCCTCCACTGAAATGGATACCATGGCAAATAAATGGCTTCTGCCCTTTAATTAAATACCCTAGAATATTGGGAAAAGAGGTTTTCCTCACTTTAAATCTCTCCAGTGATGAAGACAGAGGGATTTTCCCCTCAATCCAAACCCTTAAGAAAGAGAGATAGCTGGGCTTCCCCCTCAATTTAAGCCTTAGGACAACAAAAATGGTTACCCTTAATTCAAAACCATAAAAAACATTGTCACGGTTTTCCCCTTTTATTTAAACTGGAAAATAATGGAAAATGGGGATTCCCTGTCAATTAGCACCCCTAACAGCATAGAAAAGGCAGGGACTCTTTCAGACCATTAAAAATTAGAGACCATTAAAATTGCAGGGAAGTGGATTCCCTCATGATTTGAACACAAGAAATAATGGAAAAGGAAGCTTTTCCCCATACTTTAAACCCGTTTTCTCTCCATAACCCCTCATTTTTCTGGGAGCGCTGTGGAAGGTCTGGGGGTTCTAAGGAGGGACTGACACAATAAAAGGGGAAAGTTGAAAGCTCTCCCGTGGAACCCCACATGCTGCCCGGCCTGCTCAGGTGCTGCCCCTTGGCAAGAGGGCTCTTCCCTCGGCATTTTCTCAAAGGGATGCTCGTGCCCGGGTGGGTCCGGCTGCTCCCCGATCCCTGCTGGATGTTCCAGCCATAGCTCCTGGAGGGACACTTGGGATACCCCTGTTAGCCCCTCTGGATTAGCAGCTCCCTGTGCAGGTGTGCCCAGGTAGCTGCACTAAAAGCAGCTGCTCACACGGGGAGCTGCTACACCTAAGAGTGGGGGATGAGGTGAAGAAAGGTCCTGTGGGGTGTTCCCTCCCCTACACAGCCCTGTGTCTAACCCTTAAACAATAGAGTGCCAGATTTTCATTGCCAAGATAATTAACAGTCTTTCCCCTGGCCAAACAGGAATTGTGCTTCCAAAATTGCAAACAGTGAACGATTTCTCACAGACCACAGCTGCCAATACCAGGAACTCCTGCTGCCCTTGGAGAGCAGCACGCCTTGAGTGAACAGACATCAACACACAGGGAGGGTGAGTTTGGATTTACAGGGAAAAGGACCAGTGCATGTGTCCAGGGACCAGTGGCCCAGGACATTTTGCATCTTCTAGTTCTGAATGGACCAGAATTTCACACGGAGAAAAACTGCCCGCATGAAGAATTCGGGCTGCCCTGGCAGTGACAAGCACCTCCTGCAAAGGAACCTGGGGTGGTGAGTTCTATTTAACAGGGAAAAGGGCTGAGGTTCAATTTCAGGGGCCTGTGGCCTTGAATGGGCAGTTGCCTCCTAAAATTTGAATGTGTCCCAGACCCAACCTGCCCCCACCTCAAACTTGTGCTGCCCAGACAGTCCCAAGCACAACCTGCAAACTGACATCAGGAACTCGGGCTGGTGAGTTTTCTTTCCCAGGGAAATGGGCCAGCGTTCGTGTTCAGGAGTCACCTTCTGCCTCCTTAATTTGCAAACAGCGCAGGATTTCTCACTGACAAAAGCTGCGAGGAACTACAGTTTTGGCTGGCCTAGGATGGCCAGATCTACTCTCTAAACTTGTCCCAAGATGCTGAAGTTGAAGGCTCTCCTTCCTGTGTTGAAGAGCCCCTTCTGGTTTTCTTCAGACTTTACTACAGGGTCAGAACATGCTAAGTAACACCTGAAATTCCTATAAATTTGTTAGGTGTTGCCCATCAGTGAAGGGGCTGTGCCACTTCCCCCATCCCATGACAGGCCGGTGTCCCCTCCCCAGTGAGGGGGGAGCAAATAACAGAGGGGACAACTGGAGGCAAAACAGACCCTTTATTGGAATCATGCTGGGAGAGCCCAGCAGGCAGGGCCCCCTTGGATGGGGCGGGGGGGTTACAAGGGTCTGGGGGCAGAGGAAGACGGTGCTGGGGGCTGCCTGTGGAGGCAAAGGCGGGGGGAGGCTCAGCTGCGCTCCTCCAAGCTCAGACGGTCGAACAGGTACTCACTGAGGCCAGCCGAGGCCCCCCCAGGCCCAGTGGCCCCACCAGCGAGGCGCCGCAGGTTAGTGGCATGGTCCCCCAGCTCCTTGATGGCCTTCACTTGCTCGTCCAGGTAGTTGGACTCCAGGAAGTCACAAAGCTATGGGACAAAGCGATATCAGGCAGGGCCGAGGGTCTGGGAGAGGTGAGGGACCCCCAGGAGCAGCAGGAGATTGCAAGGACGCCCGTGGGAGAGGGAGCCGCGGGGTGATCCCAAGGCACAGGCATGGGAAAAAGGAGGAATTGGGAGCATTTGGAGCTGGGGGCGGGTGGGGTGAAAGCCATGGCACCACTCACGTGGGGGTCCCCCTTCTCGGAAGCCAAGGCGTGCAGGTCCAGCAGCGCCTGGTTCACCGACTTCTCCAGCTGCAGCGCCGCTTCCACCGCCTCCAGCGCCGACCCCCAGGCGTCCCGCTCCGGCTTCTGCGGGGCACGAAGCGTCACGGGGAGGAGCCCAGGCAGCCCACGGCCAACCGGCCCCCAGCCGCCCTCCCAGCACCGCACACCTTGATGTCCTGCAGGAGGATGCGGCCCCCGCGGCGCGTCTGGAAGCGCAGGAGCCCCTCGGCGTGCTCCCGCTCCTCCCGCGACTGCTGCAGGAAAAACTGCGACACCCGCCGCAGGGCCACGTCGTCCCTGTCGAAGTAAAACCCCTGCGGGAGGGAGGGGAGGTCAGGAGGAGTCCCCCAGGACCCCCCCAAATTCCTCGGATTCCGCCCTCCCAAGCGGCGCAGCCTCCCCTCCAGCAGCGCGGCGGGATGGAATTGGGTTTTGGGGCAAAGGAAGGGAAGGAGATCCCCCAACCCCGGGGCCAGGGGTCCCGAGCCCCCTACCATGGAGAGGTAGACGTAGGAAGCGTAGAGCTCCATGTTGGCCATGCGGTTGATGGCGGCTTCGCAGTCGCGGTGGTAGTTCTGGCGGATCTGGGAGTCCATAGCGGGACGGACGGAGCGGTTCGGAGCGGCGGGATGGACGGACGGACGGCCGAGATGGACGAAGGGCCGCGAGCAGCCGGTTCCGTTCAAGCACTGTTGAAGCGAGAACGCGGCTGTGGCCGCTCAACGTCCGCCGCGGGGTTTTATAGCCCGGCCCCGCCGGGGGGAGGAAAAGGGGCACCCCCGCTCGCCCCTCCGGAAGGGGCGCGGTGGCCTTGGCCCTTGGCCGTGTTTGTCACACGGTCCCGCAGTCAGCATGACTGGGCAGGATCCTGGCCGGGGGGGGTTCGGCCCCACGTTTGTGTCCCCCCCGTGAGCGGTGTCCCGGGGGGGCTGGGGGACAGCCCCAGTTCACTGCTGGGTTGGGGGGCTGGGGGGAGCTTGGGGGTGTTTTTTGGGTGTCCTGCCAGGTCCTGAGGCGCCGGTTGCCTGTTAATCGGAGTTTAAGAGGTTGTAGGGTGCGGAAGGAGCTGGCTCGGCGCCGGGACAATAAAAGAGGAACTTGGCCGCGGGGAAAGCGCTGACTCCGCGTTTCCGCCGCTCCAGGACTGGGGCGAACTGGGGGAGACTGGTTGGAACTGGGTGCCCCCGGAGCTTCCCTTCCCATCCCTCATCCCTCGGGGTCCCGCAGCTCCAGGGGGGCCCGGCTCGGCTGGAGCTGAGAGGAACCTCGGGGGGAAGGGGGGGAGGACCCCCAAAGCCACCCCCGCGCCCCCTGAAGCCACCACAATGGCCCTCTGGCGCTGGGTCCAGAGGCTGTGCTGCAGGAAGGACACGGCCCCGTGGAGAAGGGTCCAGATGTGGGACCCCAAGACTCCCCTGAGCGGCTGCTCAGTGAACCCCGGGATCGGGACCCTGCCCCCCGCACACACACACGATTTGAAGCCATGCGGACCTCAAATATTCCCCTGGCCCTGTGGGGATGGGAGGAAGGGGTGAAGGACCACCTCCCCATTTTTCCACCATCAACCAGGCCCCCCCCAATCCCCGAGATGTTGTTGAACAACAGGAGGGGTGCCCTGAGCCCCCTCAAAACAGCCCCGCAGCCGCATCCCCCCAACAAAGCCACGTGGCAAAAGAGAAAGTGAAAGCAGCCCTGCCTCGACTTCCCCCAATTCCTGTCCCCCCCCTTCCCCAGCTGCACCCCGAGATCCCCGAGGGCTCCCCGAGGTTTTTTGGGGGCGGGACGGGTACACGCCCACAAAGCATCGCGTTTGCCTTTTATTTCCATGTAAATTCCCGAGATACAAAAACCAAAGTACAAAAAAAGAGAAAAAAACCACTATGGAGAGAAGCAAGGCAGGGCCTACCCATTTTTTGGGAGGAGTGGTTCCCCGTGACGCCACCCCCGAGAGCACCGTGGGGGTTGGGGGAAGGGGTCGCTTTGCCCCCCCCGGCCCCGCCTCGGGGACACGAGGGACTTCCAAAACAGGGGGGGTTGAGGGGGTGTAAACGGGGGGTGTGGCCCCCCCACCCTGAGAGCCTCCGCCCCGGGAGGGGGGTATTGCACCTGGGGGGGCCCTTTCTGGGGGGTGTGGACCCCCAATAAATACTCACCCTACAGCCATGGCTGTAACCCTCCCCCCCCACCCCCCACCTCATTCTGGGGAGGGTCACAGAGACACCCCCACCACCCCTCCCACCCCCATATCAGGGGGTGGAACCGCAAGATTCCCCCCCCCCACTCCCCCCCAGTCAAAGCACCACAAGTCCTGGGGTTGAACCGAGGCCAGGGAGACCCAGCACTGGGACTGGGGGGCATGGCAGGGGAAGGTGGGGTGTTCCCACCCCATTCACCCCCAACTCCCCCCCCCAAATCCCAGCTGTGGCCTCTGGACCCCTGTGGGGGGGGGGGGGGGGGGGGGGGGGGGCTGGGGGAGGGTCCCCCCCAGCTCAACCTCCACCCCAAAATCCAGGTGAGCAAGTCCTGTTGGTTAAAAACCCCCCCCAGCCCTGGAAGGTGCTGGGGGTCAGCACCATCCCTGCCGGCAGGGCCAGTCCGGGGAGGGGTTCCGGGGATAGGGGGGGACAAAATGTGGCCCCCCTGAGAGTCTATGACATCTTCCAGATGGTCAGCGAGGCCGTGAGGACACCAGCGGCGAAGATGGTGATGGTCTGCCAGGTGGGGGTCCCGAAGTGGGACAAGAGCCCTTCCTGCAAGGAAGGGACACGGGATGGGGAAGGTCACCACATGCTGGGGGTTCCCAAACCTCCCCCCAGGACAACCAGGCTCAGAGCAGTTGGGAAACCAGGCACGGAGGGGAGAACTTGGGTTAAAATTTGGGGTTAAAGGGGATGTTGCAGAGGGGAAATTCCCAAAGAGGGGAATGGCCCCCCAAGGAATGATGGGTTTGGGGTGCAAGGGGCTGTTAGGGAGGGGTCAGGGGCATGGCCCCCCGGGGGGGTTTGGGGTCTCACCCATCCGCCCTGGGCCTGGATCCAAGCCAGCACGTGCTCCTGGAGATACTCCATGGTCCAGCGCAGGATGGTCTGGACCAGCTCCGGAACCTTGGTGCAGAGAGCCTGCCCGGAGCAGGGAGGGGTCAGAGGGGGTTAAGAGGGATCGGGGATGGCCTTCGGGGGGGCTCCACACCCACCTTCAGCACCAGTTTGCAGGCAAAGTAGAACAGGGCAACCACACGGCCCCAGTTGAAGGTGCCATCAGCAAACATCTCCTTGGCCACGCGGAAAAACAGCTTTTTGGGGGCATCACACCCCACCTGCTCGATCATCCTGGGGCAGGGGATGGTGGGGACGGTGAGGGCGGGCTTGGGGACAGCACAGACACCCCCGAGAAGCGGCAGCTGCCCACCTCTGCAGCTCCATGTTGCTGTCGAGCTCATCGCCGATGCGCCGCAGGCACTCGCTGAGGCGTTTGGTGTCGGGGCTGCTGGGCTGGGGCTCGCCCAGCTCGGCCACGCTCAGGGCCACGGCTTGGGGGTCCCCGCAGCGCTCCACGCGGTCCCGCACGAACCTGGGACCCCCGGCACGCTGGGTACCCACCGTGTCCTCCCCTGGCTCTGTGTGACCCCATCCCCACGGCCCACCTGGAGCCCGAGTCCTTCCCTCTGGCGTCATGCCCAGAGCCCAGATCTTCCCGTGTCCCAGCTGGCCCCCAAGTTCCAGGACCCTCCAAAGCCCCCCCGATGTCCCACCTGCACCCTATGGACCCCAAGTCTCCCCTGTACCCTGTGTCCCCCTGGGATCCCCTCAAGTCCCCCGTGTCCCCTGATTCCCCCTTCACTCCCGAGCTCCCTTTTGCACCCTGTGTCCCCCCAGAATCCCCACAAGACCCCCCTGCACCCCGTGTCCCCCAGGTCCCTCCCAAGTGCCCCCTCGTTCCCCTGCACCCCCAAGTCCCAGGATCCTCTCAAATCTCCCCAGTTCACCCCAAGTCCCCTGTCCCCCCGCACACTCTCGTGTCCCCCCCAGTCCCGTACCGTCTCCAGTCCCCTCTGCACCCCACGTCCGCCCCGCAGTCCCAAGTCCCCCTGCACCCCGTGTCCCCCAAGTCTCCCCACCTTCCCCCTGCACCCTGAGTGTCCCCCGCACCATGTCCCCCCTTGTCCCCCAAGGCCGCAATCGCTGACCCGCACCCCGTGTCCCCCCAGTCTCCTCCCAGTCCCAAGGTCCCCCGCACCCTGTGCCCCGTAAGTCGCCCCTTGTCCCCCCCGCCAGCCGCGGCCGTTCTCCCGCCGCTCCCGCCTCCCCTACTCACGCCCGCAGCAAGATCGCCCCCGTCTGCATGATCTGGTCCGAGGAGGCCCCTGCGGAGGGCGGGCCGCTTACCGGGGAGAAGCGGCCACCGACCGCCGCCGCCGCCTCCCCCGGCCCGTACCGGCCGCGCCCCTCCGCGGGTCCCGCCAATCCCCCCACTCACCGCCGCCCCCTGGGGGCGGGGCAGGCTCGCCGCCGGCGGCCCCGGCTCCGGGATCGGCTCCGGGATCGCCGCCGCCGCCACCTCCGCCGCCGCCCCGCTGGGCCGAAGCCGCCGCCGCCGCCATCGCGCCCCGAACACGTGGTCTCCGCCGGCGTCACGTGACACCGGCGGCGGGGCGGGCCGCTCCCGTCACGTGACCGGGCCGGTGGCCCGCACACGGGAGGGGCGGAGGGGGGACGGTGCCCATCGCCACGCCCCCGTGCGCTCGGCCCCGCCCCCGTGCGCTCGGCCCCGCCCTTTGCCCCGTCACTCACTGCTCGGCCCCGCCCCCTCCCGCGCTCGGCCCCGCCCCCGCAGCCCCCCGGGACCCCCCACCCCCCCACCGCGGGTCACCCCCCACTCCCGGGGGTCCCACCGGCGGTCATGGCTCCCGGTGTCCGGCGGAGCCCCCGGCGACGCCCCCCCGGCGCTTCCGGCGCCTCCTGTGGGGCCCGAGGCGGCGGCGGCGCCGGACGGGGCGGGAGGAGCGGGGGGTACCGTGGGCGTGGGGGGCGGTTCGGGCTCGGGGTGGGCTCTGAGTCCGTGCTTTTGTGACCCCCGTGCAGACATGAGTCCCAAAAGCTGCCTCGGCTGCACCAAGTGCTTCCTCTTCCTCCTCAACCTCTTCTTCTTCGTGAGTGGGGATGGGAGGGGATTTGGGGGGCAGGGGGGACAGCGGGGAAGTGGAGCCTGGGAGGGCAGGGGGGAGATGCAGGACACTGGGGGGACCTGGGGGACACGGGGAGATGGGGGAACCTTCGGCTGAGGGGACCCGGGTGGGTGGGGGCAACAATTTCCCAGTGTCTGTGGGCACTGGGGGTCCCGCGTTTCCTGACCTGGGCTCCCCCCGGCCCCCCCAGTTCTTGGGCATCCTCCTCCTCGCCTTCAGCTTTTGGGTCCTCTTCGACCGGCAGAGCTTCGCCGCCGTGCTGGGTAAGGGACCCCCAAAGCGTGGGGTACCCCAAGACGTGTGGCACCCCGGGTGGCAGGCTCCCTGACCCCCCCACCGTGTCCCCCAGGGTCACCGCTGGTCAGCCTGAGGGTCTGGTCTTATGGCTTCTCTGGGGTCGGCATCGTCACCATGCTCCTGGGATTCTTGGGGTGCCTGGGGGCCCTCAAGGAGGTCAAGGTCATGCTGGGGCTGGTGAGTTGGGGGTCTAGGGGGGTCGGGAGGGGTCACGGAACTGGGAGGGGGCTGAGGTAGCTGTGCTGCAACTTCCTGGGGCAACCGCGGGGCCACGTGGTGCCACCACATCCTGCGCCAGGGGAGCAGCAGCGGGGAGTGGGGGGACCCATCTGAGCTGTCCTGGCGCTGGGGAGGGGCTGGGGGAGAAGGTCTGGCTGACCCCCACCTTCCCTGTTTATCCCAAAAGTATTTTGGGCTCCTGCTGCTGCTCCTCGCTGCCCAGATCACGGTGGCTATCATCATCTACACGCAGCGCAGTGCCGTGAGTGCAGGGGCAAACCAGGGGCTGGGGGGAACCCTGGGGTCGGGGGGGACCCTGGGGTCGTGGGGAAATGCTGTGCTGATCCCTCTCCCTAGCTGGCTACAAAAGTGGCCACCTACGCAGAGGAGCTGATCCAGGGGTACCCAGCCCAGGGACCACCTGGGGACCCCCACGAGAGCTGGGATGCTGTCCAGCAGCAGGTGAGACGCCCCCCAAAAAGACCCTAGAGCCATCCCATGGCCACCACACTGACTCCCTCTCCCTCCAGCTCAGCTGCTGTGGCTGGAAAGGACCCCAAGACTGGGACCACCACGATGACACCACCAGGGACATGGACAGAGACAGGGCCATCGCCTGCTCTTGCCTCAGGGCACCCAACAGCACCCACAAGACCCCATGGATGCTCCCCCATGGCCGCTGCCCCACGGCTGCCCCACAGGACATCTTCCCCAGTGTGAGGCATGGGGGAATCAGGGGGTCCTGGAGCTCCGTGGGGGGCTCCAAGTGACCCCCAGTTGTCACCCTAGGGCTGCAAGGAGAGAGTCCAGACCTGGCTGGCTGGAAACCTGGTTACCATCGCGGGGGTTTGCATAGGCATCGCCCTGGGGGAGGTATGGGGAATACCCTGGGGCCAGGGGCTGAGCTGGGGGGGCGGAGGGTGGTCAGAGGAATGTGGGACCATAGGTTGGGTGGGCTGGGCAGCAGCTGGGAGCAGGGCAGGGAGGGTTCAGGGGATGACGGTCCGTGGGGAGCCAGGGGCTTGGTGGGGATTCAAGGTGATCAGAAGCGTCCATGGCGGTTCTGGTGGGAGGGGGGGCCAGGGATCCGAGGGGGCCCGGGAGGACTGATCCTGCTCTCTGCTCCCAGCTGTCGCTGCTGATGCTGTCGATGTTCCTGGTCCGGAACCTGGACTCCCACTACGAGAAGCTGCTGCGAGGGCTCTGAGGGGGCCAGGGTGGTGTGGGGGGAAGCGCGAAGGTCTTTATCCTTCAATAAAAGCCGTTGGGAAGCAGCGGAATCGCGACGGGACCGGGAGCGGAGCGCGAAGGCGCGGCCCGCGTGGAGCGGCGGAACCACGCCCCCTTTCCTCTAGCCACGCCCTCTTTCCCCTGGCTACGCCCCCGTTCCTCTGGGCGGGAACGGCTCGCGCGAGGCCCCGCCCCTCCCCTCCTCCGTGAGGCGATTCCCGGCGCCCCCTCAGCCCCGTGACGCTCCCGGGACTCCCCAGGAACCCCGGCCGTGCCCGGGCAGCCGTGGTACCGGAGCACCCCCAAACACCATGGCTGCAGGAGTTCCCTGCGCCCCGGGCGCCGTCATCCCCCTGCCAGGTGCGGGGACCATGAGGAAGCGGGGCGGGGGGTGAGGCGCCGGGCCCCTCCATAACCCCATGTCCCCCCCTCAGCCCCTGCCGAGAGCGGCTGCTCGGACGAGTTCGCCCTGGACTGCACCTTCGCTGCCTGCGACCCCGAGCGGACAGGTAGCCAAAGCCCCAGGGGCCGTGGTGGCCGCAGCCGAGCTCCCCCGAAATGGGCGCCACGGTCCCTGAGGGCTCCGTGCGCCGCAGGGATGGTGCGGCCGCAGCAGGTGGTGGAGTACGTGGCGGCGATGACAGGACACAGCGGGCACGACGGGCGGCTGCAGGCACTGCGGCGGGCGCTGGACCCTGCGGCCGCAGGCACGGCGCTGGACTGGGCCCGGTTCCGCACGGCCATGGGCGCCTGGATCACGGCATGCCGGCAGGATGAGTCAGTGCTGAGAGACAGGGGCAGCACCACCAGAGCTGGACCCCTCAGGGATACTGACCCAGGGCTCCAGAGCTGGACCCCTCAGAGATACTGACCCAGGGCTTTGTCGATACAGGGCTGAGGAGCAGGACGTGGCAACTGGTGACACTGCTCCAGTGCCAGCAGGTGGGCATTGGCACAGGAAAAGGGAGTCAGGGTGGCCCTGATGGGGATGCCAACACAGCCTGCTGTGTTCCATCCCGCAGAGGATGACGGACACACGTCCCCAGCAGCTGCCCAGCTCCAGGGTGACAACATGGACGTCACCACCCTGTAAGTGCGTGCTGTGGGGACACCCCGCCATCTCTGGCCGTGCTCCCAGGAGCACCCCAGGACCGGTGGGACTCCCCAGCAGCGCTGAGGCTGCGGGACTGCGGAGCCGTGCCCAGCAACTGGCGGCCCAGAACGCCAAACTTCAGCGGGATGCGGAGCTGGCTGAGGAGCTCAACGCCCGCCTGGCTGAGGAGATTGCACAGCTCCAGACGCAGCTGCGAAGGTGCTCCCGAGGGGCTCCCGGGTATGGGATCTGGATCAGCATCCAGGGAATGCTGAAGTGCCGTTTGGTCCTGGCAGCAGCCGGCAGGCACTGGAGCATGCCAGGGTGGCTGTCGATGAGCTGGACGACATGAAGGCCGTGGTGAAGCAGCTCGAGGAGGAGAACACCGAGCTCCGGAGGCAGGCACGGCACGCGGTGAGAGGCTAAGCTGAGGTTCCACATAGTGTCGTGTGGTGCCACACTGTGTCCCCTCACGGCCATGCCCTCCCCAGGAGAAGGAGCAGCACAGTCTGTGCTCGCAGGCCGAGTGCCTACAGGAGGAGGTCAGCCTGGCACTGGGGGCTGCCCCAGCAGGGCAGTGCCACAGGGAACCCCAGCCCTTTTCACCCCTGGCAGAACCAGCGGCTCCTCGCCGAGGGCCAGGGTCTGCGGGAGCAGATCCAGGTGCAGGCAGCTCGGACGGCCAGCCTGGAGGTGAGCGGTGGCACAGTGGCTGTGGTGGGCAGTGCTGGGGCTGTGTTAGCCAGTGACGGGGAGTCCTTGTCCACATCCCTCTGCCCAGGACCAGCTCTGCCGTGGCACTGCCCTGCTCTCTGCCCGGGATGCAGCCCTTGCCCAGGTGAGCACTGCCCAGTGACACTGGCACCACCTCAGCTGTCACAGGGTCACCCCCAGCTCTCTCCCATGGCCCCTCATTTCCAGGCCCTGTCTCACAGGCAGGGCAGCGGGCACAGGAGCTAACAACAGCACTGGAGGAGTATGAGCGGATGGTGCAGGTACAGCACATCTGGCCTCGGTGTGAGCCCACACAGTGGCCACAGCAAAGCCCCACGGTGGCCACTCCCTATGTGGGGGTCAAGGGCCGAGGGTGACAATCCCTTCTCCCCCCCAGGAATTGCGTCTGGAGACGACGCGGCTGCGGCAGCAGCTGGGCCAGATGCGGGACGCCTGGGCCATGTACGTGGGGGACACATGGGCAGGGGACATCCTCAGGATGCCCCGGAGCCCTCACCTCAGCATCCTCACCCTCCTCTGCCTTCCATAGGCGCCCGTGGTGCCCGAGCAGCCAGCCAGACATCCAGGCCATGGCAGCGGTGAACCAGGTAAGAATGGGGTCAGGGGGGACCCTGCAGGGTCCCCTCAGCCACTGACCCAGAGGCTCTGCCCAGGAGACAGCAGACAAGGAGGAGGAGGAGGACAGAGGGATGGCACTGTCAGGAGGAGGAGGCCTGCTGTGGAGCAGTGAGGAGGTGGCCAAGGCAGTGACCCCACAGGCACCACTGTCACCATGGACACCACTGTCACCATGGGCTCTGGCGCTGCTGGCACTGCTGGCCCTGCTCTACTTCTTGCCCTGCCAGTGGCCCCAGCTCCAGCTGCACTACCGGAACCCCCCACCCCTGTGAGACCCCCAGTAAAGGCCAGTTGCGCAATTCTGTGTCCACCCCACTCTCGACCAGTTCCCCCAAACACTCATCCAGTCCACCCAGTCCTCCCAGAGCAGGGTCAGAGTCAGGGTGTCAACATCAGCTTTATGGGCACTGCACGGGGCCAGGCTGGGCCCCCTCATCTCTCCGTCGCTCTGGGAGATCCCGGTGTAGCTCCCAAGGGCTTCCAGCAGGGAACTGGGGGGTCCCCGTCTCTCACCAGTGGCTCAGGCCAGCCTGGGCAGGGGCAGAGGGTGAGGACCTGATGATCCAGGGGCCTCTCCTGGCCCCCCTCAGGATATTCCCAGTGATAACAGTATCCAGGAGCTCTCCCAGTACCTGTGTCTGTCCCCAATTACCACTCGGCCACTCAGGTCCCATCCTGCTCCCATGTCGGGGGTCTCTGTGAGGGCTAGAGGGGGCTGAGGGGAATGACCTCCCAGCGCTCCCCAGTGCTTCCAATGTTGTCAGTCCTCCTACCAGTGACCCCAAGACAGCCCCCAATGCTCCCAATGTCCCCATGACAGCCAGCATCCACAGTGTCCCCAGTGCACACACCATCCCCAGTGCCCCTCATGCCCTCACCACCCGCTGTGTCCCCAGGAACGCCATCCTCCCGGGTGTCCCCAGTGCCCGTCAGTGCCCCCAGTGTCCCCACCTGGGCACAGGGTCTCCTCCACAGTACCCAGACCACCGCCACCAAGACCAGGACACCCCCAACTCCCCCCAGCAGCACCAGTCCATGTCCAGCAGGGCTGGCGGCTCCCTGCCTGGCCCCCAAGGTCCCCTCGTGCCGCACTGCTGGGCTGGTCAGCGCCGGGCCTGGGGGAAGACAGGGGTCAGCAGCTGCCCCAGGGGGGGTTACGGGGGTCTCTCAGGAGTCCTGAGGGGTACCTGGGTGGCAGCGCAAGCGGGCACAGCCGGGGAAGTGGGGGGGTCTCCCTTGCAGCCCCCCCAGGTGCTGCATGAGCGTCTCCAGTAGCTGCGACACATTCACCATCTCCAGCTGGACACAGCGCTGGGGGTCCTGGGGAGATGTTGTAGGAGCCCCCCCGGGGGACCCAGACCCCTTCTGAACCACCCTGGGAAATCCCAGGAATGCCCCAGAGCTCCTGCACCCCCACAAGGCTCCCAGAGTTACCCTAGACACCTCAGGGAACCCCCTGAGCCCTGTGGGGTCCCCAGAGCCCCTCAGGCCCCCAGACTCATCTTGGCTGCCCCAGGACCACCCCGTAACGGTGCACACCGAGCCTCCCAACTCCCCCTCCTTCCAGGACCCCCGGAGCCCCCCGGGGACCCCCACCCACCTGGATATGACACTCGGCCACGAAGTGGAGCTGGGCAAGGAGGGTCCTGAGCAGGGGGGCCAAATCCTTCCCCGCCACCCCCAACATTCGCTGCAGAGCCAGTGCCCCAAAGTGAAGCCCCCAGAGATCAGAGCAGGCGCCGTCCTGGGGAGGCCAGGGCAGTTCAGGGTTTGGAGGGACAGGGGTCAGGGGTCAGAGGTGTCCGGGGGTGCAGGAACAGGGAGGGATTTGGGGGAGGACACGTGGGATTTGGGGGATTCTTGCTCACCGGCTCCAGGTTGCTGGGCATCGCCACAGGGTAGTCGAGGAGCAGCCAGGGGGTCTGTGGGAGGGGTCAGGGGGTCCCCAAAAGCAGCCCAGAGGGCTGAGGGGGGCGCTCAGGGCGTCCCCAACGACCCTTTGGGGGTGAAGGGGTGCAGTCAGGGGGTTTTCGGGACCCAGGGTGGGGCCTTCCCTGGGGAATGAGGGAGTTCGGGGGAAGGGGGAGGGAGGCGCAGGGGAATCTTTTGGGTCTCAGGGGGATCTGGGAGGTCCCGTGAGGATCCCGGAGGTCAGGGGGCGTACTAGGGTGCGCGGGAGGATGTCCTGGGGGTGGGGGTCTGTCTCACCAGGTTGTTCAGGTGGGTGCTGAAGGTGCTGCTGATCGGGTTAAAGCCGAAGGAGCAGCAGCTGCTGGGGGTGGGCACGGCCAGGAGGAGCAGGAGCGGCACCTGGGAGTCACCGGGGGGGGCTCTGGACGTCCCAAGGGGCTCTCGCGGGGGTCCCAGAGGGGCGCAGGTCACATTGCGGGGCGGAGGGAGGGGGTCCCCACTTACCAGAGCAGAGCGGAGGGGGGGCAAATCCATCGCGGTATGGAGCCGGGGACGGCGCACCGGAACCCCCGAGCGCTCCCGGAGCCACCCCCGGGACCCCCGCCGGGACCCCTCGGGCCGCGGCGGAGCCGCCGCCGAAACCGAAAGTGGGACCGAGCCGGGAGGGGGCCCAGGAAACCCGAGAGGGCAGCGGGACGTCCCGAGCCTCCCCCTCCCACGCCGCGGACCCCGGGCCGCCCCTTCCTCACCCCGGGGACTCCCCCTCTATTCCCACGGGAGCTCCGGCGCTCGGGACCCCCCGCCCTGCCCCGCAGAGCTTTGGGTGCGGCTGCCCCGAGCGTGGGAGGGGGGCCGGGGCGTCCGGGCACGTGCGGGGCGGGGCACCCCAAAACATCCCCCCCCCTCCAGCGCGAGACCAACCCGGTCCCCCCCCTAAACAGAAACGTGACAGCGGCTGCGACTCGGAGCGGTTTATTGGGGTGGGGGTCGCGGGGCTGGGGGCACAGTGTGAGATCTGAAATCCCCGCAGATTTGGGAGGCTCTGGAGGGCATCTCAGGGAGCGCCCCCCGGAAGCCAAAGGCAGTGGGGGCGGGTGCAGCGCAGCTCCAGCTCCCGTTCGGCGCCGGGGGGAGGGTCCTGCCTCGGAGCCCCCACGAGTCCCGCCGGGACCCCCCAAACGCGGGGGACGCTCACGGCAGAGGCCCAGTCGCAGTCCTGGGTGGGCGGACATAAGAGGGGACAGATGGGGAGAGCTGGGGTGATGTCCCCCGCACCCCAAATCCCCACCACAGCAGCCGTCCCACGGCTTGAGACCCCCAGAACGTCACCAGTGTCAACCCTCCTTCCCCGGCGTGCCCTCCACTGTCCCCTTTCCCCGTGTCCCCACACTCTGCCCCCCACTGCCCCTCCACTCACCGCGTCCCCCCCGCACAGCCACAGCCCGTCCGGGTGATGTCGCGCCAGGCCAGATCCGGAGCCCCGGAAATTCCCGGGAAGCACCGTCAGGACACCCCCGGGAAGCCCGGCGGCCACCAGAGCCTGGGGACACAGAGGAAGAGGGGAGTGTCACCGAGCGGGGCGGCTTCCTGCAGCGAAGGAAGGGGACGTGGGGTGTCCTGGAGGGTTTCAGGGGGGCACATGAAGGGACACAGGAGGCACATGGGAGGTCCTGGGGGGAACATATGCGGGCTCCCGGGGGTCGCGGGGGAGGAACGGGGGGCATGGGGGTCACCCGGGGGGTTCCTGGGGCATCACAGGTGTCACCGGGGGGGCAGCGGGGGGTCCCGCGGTTCCGCACCTTCCGAAGCCGCTCTGCGGAACCGGCGCCGCCAGGGGGCGCCACGACCACCAGGGCGTTGCCGAGCGCGAGCGCCGGGAGGAGGAGCTGCAGCGCCAGTGGGCGTGGCCAGCCCCAGGCCACGCCCAGCACTCCGAGCGGCCGCCTCGCCAGCAGCGCCCGCCCCCCGGGCACGTCCTGCAGCGGGATTGGCCACGCCCAGTCATAGGCCACGCCCCCTCTTGCATCACCCACTCTCCTCCCGCCCCTTGACCACGCCCACCTGCACGGCCCCGCCCCCGCGCTCCAGGCGCGCCGCCCAGCGCAGCAGCGCCCCCTGCAGGCTCCCGTCCGCGCCGCCGCCGTCCGCGGGGGTCCCGGGTGCCGCCGCCAGCGCCGCCGCCGCGCCCCGCAGCACCCGGGCCCGCGACGCTCCCGGCAGCCGCCCCCACCTGCGGGAGCCGAGGGCATTGGGGACCGACGCCTCCTCCCAAGGGGGTCGGGGGACACCCCTGGAGGAGCCGCCCACCCACCCTCGCACTCACCCCGGGGCGGCCCCACGGGCGGCGGCCACGGCATGAGCCAGCTCGGGATCGCCGGGGTCATCCACGGCCACCAGTGGGCTGCGACAGGGACGGGAGACAGGGAATCAAAGGGCATCGCTGTGGGAGGGGCACCGGGGGGTCACCGGGACCCCTTTGAGAGAGACAACCGGGGTCCTGAGAGGTGCACAGGACCCTCCGGGGGGACAGGATGGGGCTGGGACCACCCCGGGAGGGAAGAAGGGGGTGCTGAGGGTGTTTGACTGGGGTCCCAATGGAACTCGGTCTTGGAGTTCTTGTCCTAGGACCCCCTAATTTGGAGTCTCCATCCTGGAGAGGGGTCCCTGTCCCATCAGGGGGTACCTGAGCAGCTCATCCACCTTGGGGGCCTGTTCCCAGGGGGGGCACCCAAATTCTCGCAGCGCCTGGAGGGAGTCCGGGGGGGGCAGAGCCCATCTGCAACAGTTGCACAGGAACCCCAAAACCCACCCCACTCCCCCCTGAAAAACTCAGAACCCACCCCAGGAGACCTCCACATCCCTCCAGCTTCTCCAGGACACCCCCGACCCCCCCTGGACCCCTCCCAAACCACCCAGGACTCCCAGAAGAGCCCCCCCTTGGCAGCCCCCACCTCATCCGGGTCAGTGTCCGCAGCCCCCCCGGCGCAGCCCCCGTTGGGGTCCAGCAGGTCCAGGGCGTTGAGCCACACCAGCCCCTGGGGCAGCCTGGAGAGGGGTCAGCGCTCAGCGCCCAGCACTCGCTCCTGGGCCCAGGGCTCAGGGGGCTGCTGGTCACCTGTCCGCTGTGTCCAAGGCCATGGTGATGTCCTGGGCCCAGACGGCAGCCGCCGCGGTCTGGGGCAGCGCCGAAGCCAAGGCCACGGCCTCCGTGGGGCTGCGCACGGGCAGCAGCACCAGCAGCGGCCCGGGGGCCTGGCGGGGCAGGGCACGCTCAGGGCAGCCCCAAAAGGCGCCCCTGGACACCCCCCACCCCAGGGCGCCCCGGGGCACCCACCGGCTCCCGCAGGCAGCGTGAGGTCGGGGCCACCCCCGAGATAAGCGTCAGGGGGTAGAAGCGATGCTCCTGCTCCGGCAACGGTGGCAGCGGCACCTGGAAAACCTAGGCAGAAAACAACAGGGGTCCCAACAAGGTGGGGACCCTCAGAGTGCCACCCAGGGTACCCCCACTCTGACCCCGGGGGACCCCAAATGGCCCCACAGCCAGTCCCAACATCCAGGAGCACCCAAACCCACCCCTGGGAACCTCCGGATTTCACCCCAGGAGACAGCAATGTCCAGGAAGTCTCAACCTTGACCCCCAAACACCACGTGCCCCTCCCCACCCTCCCAACCCTTTTGTGCTGCCCCGATGTCCCCACAGCCACCCCACCCGGCCCCCTTTGCGCACCCCCTCACCTGAGCCCCCTCCTGCAGCGCCTCCTGCACCACCCCCTCCGGCGGGCAGGTCCCAGGGGGCAGCGGCCCCACCTCCGTTTTGGGGTCTGTGGGGTCCCCGAGCTGCAGCCCCCCGAGGCGGGCCCGGAGCCGCTGCTCCAGCGCTGCCGCCACCGCGTCCTGTGCCAGCACCACGCACCCCCCAGCCGGGAACTGGGGACACGCAGGAGGCACCGGGGGATCAGGGACCCCCTGAAAAACTGACACACCTCCCCCATGGGAAACCCAGAAACCTCCTAAAAAGCCCCACCAAACATGCCAAAAAAAACCCCCTGAAACCTCCCCAAAAGGCCCCCCCAAAAAAACCCTCAAGAAACTACCAAACCTCCATAAAAACCTCTGAAACCTCCCCAAAAGACCCCCCCAAGAAAACTCCTAAGAAACTGCCAAACATCCACAAAAACCCCTGAAACCTCCCCAAAAAAACTCCTTAGAAACTGCCAAATCTCCACAAAAACCCCTGAAACTTCCCCAAAAGGCCCCCCCAAAAAAACCCCTGAGAAACCTCCACAAAAAACCCTGAAACCTTCCCAAAAAGCCCCCCCAAGAAAACTCCTTAGAAACCACCAAACCTCCACAAAAACCCCTGAACCTCTCCCAGAAAGACCTAAAAACCCCCCAGAACTCCCCGAGCCCCCTGGGACCCCACCAGCGCCGGGGGCGCGGCGGCACTGGCGACGACGGCGGCAGCAGCGCTGTCCAGGTCGGCCGAGTCCAGGACGACGACGACGACACGGCCCCCTCGGGGACCCCACAGGCGCGGCCCCCGGCACGGGGACCCCCAAACCAGGGCCGGCAGCTCCTCCTGGGGGCACAGACAGTGCGTGGGGACCCCCAAATTGGGGAGGGGGGTGAGAGGAGCCCCAGCTCCCCCCAGCCGTGGGGCTGGGACGTGGCCGTACCTGGGGCACCCCGAGGAAGGTGACGGAGGCGATTTCGGGGTGGGCGCGCAGGGCCTGGCACAGCTCCAGGGGTCCCGCCAGGACGTTGAGGACCCCGGGGGGCAGCGCTGCCCCCTCCCTGCTCAGCTCCCCCAGCAGCAGCAGCGGCGGCGCCGTGGCCGCTGGGCACAGCACCAGAGCCGTGTTCCCTGGAGGCACCCCAAAACTGCTGGGACCTCCACAGGGACACCTCAAACCTGCTGAGACCCCCCAAAACTGCTGGGACCCCCCACAGGGACACCTCAAAACTGCTGGGACCCCCCAAAACTGCTGGGACCCCCATAGGGAATCCCAAAACTGCTGGGACCTCCACAGGGAACCCCAAAACTGCTGGGACTCCCCACAGGGATGTCAGGACATCCTAAAATGGCCAGGACACCCCACAGGGACATTGGGGAGCCTACCACACCCTTTGCCCCCTGGCTCTGCCCCTCGTTCCTTGCACGGCCAGCTGTCCACAGTGCCCCCAAGATCCCCAGCTGTCCCCAAGTGTCCCCAAGGTCCCCAGCTGTCCCCAAGTGTCCCCCCTGTGCACTCACCCATGGCCAGGAGTGGCCCCAACTTCCAGAGCAGCGCTGGCAGCGAGCAGGGACCCCCCAGGACCAGGGCCACCACCCCTGGGGGACACATGGGGGTCAGGGGCCACGGCCACCACCCCTGGGGGACACATGGGGGTCAGGGGCCACAGCCACCACCCCTGGGGGACACGCGGGGGTCAGGGGACACGGGGAGGGGACACGGGGGGACAGGCGCCACTCACCCAGTGGGGCCCAGCCCTCCAGGCCGGGTGGGCCGAGCTCGGCCGCGGCCGCTGGCGCCCGCAGCAGCCGCAGCGCCAGGTCCAGGTCGGCTCCGAGCGTCCGGTGGAGCGGACGCCCTCCGGCCAGCGCCAGCAGGGCGCCCACGGCCCCGCGGCGCTCTCCGGCCAGCGCAGCGGCCAGCCTGGGGGGCACCGGGGCATCGGGGCAGCTCAGAGGGGTTTTGGTACCCCGGGTGTTGCCATTGGACACCAAGTACATAAACGTTTGGGAAGTTTAAAGGTTAAAAGGGAGAGTGTTTCATTTGAGTGTTTGTCATTTGTGGAATCCCAGGGGTGGCTGTGCATTGGAGGATGGAATTGCTGTTTTTATAATTACCCTGTTAAACTAACAGTTTATTAATTTGTTAATATATATAATACATATATTATATGTATTTGTTAATATATATAACTCCTCACAAAGAACATAAAACAGTTATTATTTACAGCAACAGTGGCTGGGAACTCCAGTAGAAACACATAAGCAGATCAGAAAGTTGAAAAGGTTTTACGAGACCTTTAAGGCTTTCAAAAGAATTACAAAACAAAACTTAATACTTCCAAACACCAGGGTAACACCCGGGGTGACCGGAGAGGGAGGCAACAGGGGCAGGTCAAAGGTCACCAGGGGTCAGGGGTCACTCACCGGGTCAGGTGCTGCCCCCGCTGGGGACCCCCCAGCCCCGCCCAGGCCTCAGCCGCCGCCGCCGCCGCCGCCACAGCCACGGCCACGTCCGAGCTGTCCCCGGCCGGCACCGTGGCCAGCGTCCGGCCTGGGGAGAGGGCAGGGCAGGGCGGGACACTGACCCCGAGCCCTGATCCCGACCCCAAACACTGACCCCAAACTCTGACCCCAAACCCGGGCCCTGACTCCAAACACTGACCCCAAACCTGGATCCCAAACCCTGATCCCAAACCTGGACCCTGACCCCAAACACTGACCCTAAACCCAGATCCCAAACCCAGACCCCGACCCCTGATCCTGACCCTAAACCCTGACCCTGACTCCAAACCCTGACTCCAAACCCTGACTCCAAACCCTGACCCCAAGCCCTGACCCCAGTCCCTGACCCTGGCCCAGTGACCTCAAATCCGTGCCCGTGGCCTTTAACCCCAGCCCTGCCCGTACCGGTGCTGCTCTCCGGGCAGGCCAGGCTGACCCTCCCCGGCGGTTTCAGCCACGTTCCGCCCACGAAGTGTCCGAGGCTGCGGCCGTGGGACTCCAGCCACGCCTGGGGTCAGGGACAGGGTCTGGGGTCAGGGGCAGGGTTTGGGGTCAGGGGCAGGGTTTGGGGTCAGGGTTTGGGGTCAGAGTCAGGGTTTGGGATCTGGGTTTGGGGTCTGGGTTTGGAGTCAGGGGCAGGGTTTGGGGTTTGGCACCCCCGGCCCCAGCAGTGACTCTCCCACCCCGCAAATGACCTTGGGACACCCCACAGAACCCGGGGCTCCCCAGCGACCACTCCAGTGCCCCCAAGGACCCCGGCAAGAACCCCCAGGAACCCCCCAGTAACACCTCGGGACCCCGCAGTGTTCCCCAGTACCCCCCAAAAAACACCCAGGACCCCTCAATGGCCCCCAGGAACCCCCCGGGACCCCCAGAACCCGCCCAGAGGGACCCCTCAGATCCGCCCGCACCTCTCCCGCGTTGATCTCGCCGGGGACCGGCCCCTCCTCCATCGTGGCGAAGATTTCGGGGACCGGGGGAGCCCCGAGCGCCGCCAGAGCCGCCATGGCCGCCGAGGGACCACAGAGACGGGGCGGGGCGGGCCAGAGCGGCCCCGAAACCACCGAGACGGGGCGGGAGCGGCCAGAGCGTCTCCGCGTAACCATGGCGACGGGCGCCGCCGGAAGCGGAAGTGACGGATGGCGGAGCGGGGCGGGCGCCCGGGCGGAGCGGAGAGTTCGGCTTGGGGGTCCCGAGGGGTTTTGGGGGTGTCCGGAAGGGTTTGGGGGTCCCGGGGGTTCCCTGGGGTCCCGAGGGGTTTTGGGGGTGTCCGGAAGGGTTTGGGGGTCCCGGGGGTTCCCTGCGCGTCCGGTACCCCGCTCCGTCCTGCTGCATCCCCCGGCCCCGTCCCGCTCCCCCAAGGCCATGTCGGACCCGTCGCTGCTCTCGGCCGAGCTGGAGGCGGACGAAGAGGAGGAGGCGGCGGCGCTGCGGCGGCTGCTGCTGCAGGTGGGTCCCGCTCCCGGCGCCGGTTCTGAGCCGCTCCCGGCGCCGGTTCTGAGCCGCTTCTCCTCCCCGCAGGTGCCCCCGGACCGTGAGGAGTCCCCGCGCCCCGGCCCCGCCCGGGCGGTGACGCCACAACCGGGTACGGGGGGACTGTTGCGGATTTTGGGGGGGGTCCCCGCCGCCCCGGTGGATTTTGGGGGGTCCCCGCCGCCCCCTGAGCGCTCCCGGTGGATTTTGGGGGTCCCCGCCGCCCCTGACCGCCCCCGTGCTCCCAGGGCTGTGCGTGAAGACCCGCGCCGGGGGGCACAAGGTGTTCCTCAATATCTGCCACTCGCCCGCGGTGCCGCCACCGCCCCCCGTGCCCGCCCCGGGGCTGCAGCAGCTCCTGCGGGAGCCCCCCGGGCCTGACGGCGCCTTCCGGATCCCCATGAGCCTGGGGGAGCCGCATGCCGAGCTGGACCGAGGTGAGAGCCCGCAACTGGCCCCGGGACTCCTTTTCCTTTCCCCCTTTTCCCCCTTTTCTTTCCTTTTCCCCTTTTCCCCTTTTCCCCCTTTTCTTTCCTTTTCCCTTTCCCTTTCCTTTCCGGTTTCCCTTTTTCCTTTCCTCTCTTTTCTCTTTTCCTTTTTCTTTCTTTTCCCTTTTCCCTTTTCCCTTTTCTGTTTCCCTTTCTCCCTTTTCCGCTTTCCTCTTTCCCTTTCCCTTCCCCTTTCCCTTCCCCTTCCCCTTTCCCTTTCCCTTTCCCCTCTCCCCTTTCCTCTCTCACTTTTCCTCTTCCCCTTTCCCCTCTCTCCTTCCCCTTTCCCCTTCCTCTCTCCCCTTTCTTTCTCCTTTCCCCTTTCCCCTCTCCCCTTTCCCTTTCCCCTCTTCCCTTTCCCTTTCCTCTCTCCCCTTTCCCCTCTCCCATTTCCCCTTTCCCTTTCCTCCCCCTGACCCCCCCGGTCCCTCTCCCCCCACAGGCGGCCATGGCTGCACCGCCTACGACGTCGTGGTCAACTCGGATTTCTTCAGGACGCTGCAGGTCAGCGGGGCTGGGGGCTTGGGGGGCACTTGGAGGGCTCAGGGAGCACCCGGGGGGCTCTGACCCCACGGCCGCCCCAGGCCGACCCTCTGTACCTCGAGTTCTTCCTGACCGTGGCCATGGAGGGGCTGTCAGAGAAGTACGGGCTGGAGCTGGAGCTGACTGGTGAGACTGGGGGCACTGGGGGGGGGCTGGAGCTGACTGGGGGCACTGGGAGGACTGGGGTTGGGCTGGACCCCACCCGTGACCCCCCCCAAAACACCCCAGGCTGGCGCGTGCTGCGGAACCGGAAATTCCTGGGCTCCATCTCGGCCCAGAACATCCGGACCCGGCCACAGCCCCACATCCAGGAGCTCCCGGGGTGAGTGGGGACCCCCCGGGACCCCTCCCCAAAATCCCTGGGATCCTCCCACCCTCATCTGTGCCTCCCTGCAGCCCCCCGGATCCCCCCCAGTTTGTGGTGGTGGCTGAGCCCTCGGCCCAGGACCCACAGGTGCTTCAGGCCCGGGTGCACCTACCCCAGGTGGTGAGTAGGGAACTGGGAGGCGCTGGGGGGGAACTGGGGAGAACTGGGAGGCGCTGGGGGGGAACTGGGGAGAACTGGGAGGTGCTGGGGGGCAAATGGGGAGAGCTGGGAGGCGCTGGGGTTGGCTTATGGGGTTCCCCTGATTCCAGGGTCAGTTTGGTGGGCGGCTGGGGGGGCACTTGGGGGTGGATGGCAGGAGTCCCATTGTGCTGGGATGGCACTGGGGGGCGCTGGGGACTGTGGTAGGAGGGGTTCTCTTATCCCGGGGAGTGTGGGGAAACAACGAGGGGTCCCCTAAAGCCCAAGGAGGGGTTGGGGGGCGCTGTGGGCGTGTCCTAACCATGGCCACGCCCCTCCCGGCCCCGCCCAGGAGGGGGCGGGGTCTCTGTGGCTGGGGCTGAGCGAGGAGCGGCTGCTGCTGCTCCGCCCGCCGCCGCCGGGGGGCGCCGCTGGAGCCGCCGCAGGCCTGCCCGCCCATCAGGGGGCGCTGCTGGAGCTGGGGCTGCCGCTGCCCGCCGACCCCGCGCGGTGCCGCGCGCGCTTCCACCGCCGCTCCAAGGTAACTCTGGCAACCACGGAGTGGACAGGCACCCCGGCCGTGGGACACGCCCCCCCGAGCGCGGGACACGCCCCCGGCCGCGGGACACGCCCCTTCTGAGCACGGGACAGGCCCCCCGGCCGTGGGACACGCCCCCTTTCTCCCGCGGGACACGCCCCTCCCGCCCGTGGGACACGCCCCTCCCCCCGCGGGACACGCCCCCCGGCCGCGGGACACGCCCCCGGCCGCGGGACATGCCCCTTCCGAGCACGGGACAGGCCCCCCGGCCGTGGGACACGCCCCCTTTCTCCCGTGGGACACGCCCCTCCCGCCCGCGGGACACGCCCCCTTTCTCCCGCGGGACACGCCCCCCGGCCGTGGGACACGCCCCCGAGCGCCTGGCGCCCCCTGCAGGTTCTCACCGTGACGATGCCGCTGAGGGCGTGAGGGGCGAGGGACCCCCAGCCCCACCACGGGCCCCACCTAGGGCAACCAGGATCACCTGGGACCCTCTCCAGGATCACCCGGGACCCTCCCGAGGATTGTCTGGGAACCTCCTGGACCCCACAGCTCAGGATCATCCTGGACTTCCTCTCAGGGACCTTCATGGGGTCTCTCTGGGGCTCCCCCGGGACCCTCCTGGATCCCCACAGAACCCTCCTGGCCCCCGCAGCTCAGGACCGTCCTGGACTTCCCCTCAGGGACCTCCTTTTGGACACTCTTGGGGTCTCTTTGGGGCTGCCCCAGTCCCCTCCTGTTCCCCCCAGGCCCCTCTTCCCACCCTCCACATCCCCCCCATGCTCCCCTCAGCCCCCTGCCCCGTCCCCCATCTTTTTTTGTACGACACCCCCACAATAAAAGCGACACCTGCAGCCTGTGGTGGGATTGGCCGGGGCCCCCCCGTGGGCTCGGCCCACGCCAGGGGGGATTGAGGGGATTTAGGGCTGAGCTGGGGCCGGGGGGGCCAGGGAGGACGTTCCGGAGCCCGGGAGAGCCGAGAGGAGCCAGCGGAGGGGTCGGGGGCTGCGGGGAGGGCGGGAGGGAGG